CTCTGTGCGTGATTCGCACAGGTAAGACTTATGTGAATCCTCACAGTGGTCATTGTCCCAAGTTCTCAGTGTGAAATGAAAGAGATGATTGCCCAATTTCTGAAAATAAAATAAAGAGAGTCTTTGTCTTTACAGTTATGAATGACATCATCACAACTATGTTCAATAAAAAATTTATGGAAGAACTGTTTAAACCACAGGAACTCTATTCCAAGAAAGCTCTGAGAACAGTGTACGACCGGCTCGCTCATGCTTCAATCATGAGGCTGAATCAGGCAAGCATGGATAAGGTAAAAAGACTATCTTTTTAGTCCTAACTATAATATACTACGCTGTATTTTCTTAACTGCTGCTGTTACAGGTTCTGGATTGTGATAATTAGCTGTAATTTCTGCGGAAAAGACTTTCCCATTTGTTCTGTCTGGAAAAATTGGTTCTAAGCCTAAGAAACTACAGGGAAGTTCATGACACCGGATATTTCAGTACCTCAACTCAAAACTCCATAGTTCTGCTTCAGGATCTAAATACTTAGTTTTAAGAAATTCAGAAAGCATTCTTTATCTAAGTTCTTTTCTATGTCAACATGAAATTAATCTAAGTGACACTGCCATCTGTGCCGTGGTGTGACCAGAATTTCACCTATGTTACTTTGCAGCTGTATGACCTTATGACTATGGCTTTCAAATACCAAGTTCTGCTGTGCCCTCGGCCCAGGGACATACTGCTTGTCACCTTCAATCACCTGGACGCTATCAGAGATTTTGTTCGAGATGCCCCTAGCATTCTTAACCAGGTGGATGAAACCTTCCGGCAGCTCATTGAAGTAAGAACTCTTAGTTAAGCTGTGGAACTCACTGGTATTCAGGACTTTTTTTTTCTTCAGGCTAATTCTAGAAACTAAATATCACATCAGTGGAATTTTTCACAGTCTCAGAACAATCCAAGTATTCTTCCTTTGTTTTGAAGTGCAGGGAAACAGATTGACCTCCCAGCTAATAGCATTTTCTAATGAAACTGCTGAATTCTTTGGACAAAGAACATGAGTATTTCAGTGAAAGGGAGCTGGTTGCATAAACTATTAAAAGTGATGAGAAGCCTTGAAATGTAGCCAGTGTGTTTCCGGAGATGGAACTCTCTAAAATCGTATTGTTATTTTCCTACTGGCCCATTTTAAATCAATACATTGCCCATTTAACCCAGCCAAAGTTTCCACTGACTTCAACAGAAATTAAATTGGGCTCTTAATCACTGGTAATAACTATTGATAATGATCAGCAGTTCTTCTGGCAAACACAAATCATTTTAGGCCAGCAGTATTCTGGTGTACTTTTTTCTATCTTTAACACACTTGCCAAACTGTACATCACGGGTTCTTTTTCTCTTTCTAGGTGTACACCCCTCTTTCTGCTGGAGAATTTCAACTGATCAGGCAAACACTCCTCATTTTTTTTCAGGACATGCATATAAGGGTAAGAGCCCAATATAATTAGTTGGTAAGAACAGAAGGAAGTTTGATTCTGTAGCTAGAAAATTGAGGTATGTTGTTATATGTATGCTATAAGCTTGGGTTTTTTTAGTTATGCTTTTCAGTTGACTTCATGTGCTTCTGATATTCATCTTCAAAATTTCACGAAGGAAAATTACTAGGTCAGATTTCAAGAACTCGGATCAGAAGATATTGAGCTGATGTTCTTGTGGGTGGAATATTCTTTTGCAGGTCTCCATCTTTCTGAAGGATAAAGTACAAAACTCCAATGGCCGCTTTGTGCTGCCAATATCGGGCCCTGTTCCATGGGGTACCGAAATTCCAGGACTCATCAGGTAACTTTTGAACCACTTTTTATATGGTTGTAGTGTCTTGCATGCATGGCTGCTCACAAAGTAGCAGGCAGTCACAGATGTCTATTAGGACTTGGACTCAGGCTTAGACTGTTGCTCACGATGCATGGATATCTGAATCTCTAATAAATATTATTTATAGGAGGGGATCTGGGGCTAAATTCCTCAGCAATGCAGCATTAAGCATGTTTTTGTCATTCCTTATTACATAGCTTTTATTTATCCTTTAAAGTAGACTCCCATCAATTTGCAGAATAGTGGGGTTTTTTTTCCTCTTTCTTGTACAATGAGCCACTACTGAAGCGAGTCACTACTGAAATGTACCACTAAATATGTTTCAACAATGACTTGTTTTTAAGGATGTTTAATCACAATGGAGATGAAGTTAAAAGAACTAAATTTACCACTGATGGAAATTATGTCATTCCACAAAGGGAAGGGTCTTTTGATCTTTATGGAGACAGAGTCCTTAAACTTGGAACAAATATGTAAGTCATTTTTGTCCTACATAGAAACATGAAAGCAAATGGTGATGATCATATGCTTATCCAGAAGGACAGTATCAGCCTTGTTTAGTTATTTTTGCCTCTTGCACTATTACCAGCTTGACTCTTTCACAGAGTGATTTCCCCCAGAAATATATATCTAGCAGTAGATGCGTATAAATAAAGAACCAAAGTTTAACCCATGTCTGCAGTAGAGCTGACTAGCAACTGGTCTTTTCTGGTACTGCATATTCTCTGAAGTACAATTCCATTTTTACTTCATTCAAGGAATGCTTTTTTGTTTGTTTATATGACATATGTTTATATGTCATTTCCACATTTAAATGTACCACTAATCCATACAACTGTATCAGAACTTCTCATTTTAGTTATTTGTCTTCAGAAAAATATTGCTAAACCATATCTGCACCCATATTTGCTTTCTTCTGTTCTGGTGTCACTTACAGGTAACAGGGTGTTCTTCCCTATATGTTTTCCTCCTTAGGTACAGTGTTAGCCGGCCCGTTGAGACACATATGGCAGGATCATCCAAAAGCTTGGCATCACATGCAAAGGTCAGTGCTCTTCTGTTCCTCTCGTTCGGTTCTTGCCATCACCTATAGCTGGTGCCAGCGTATCCCACGGGGGGCTTGTGCAGGGATGGGTGATTAGCACTTTGTGTGATTAGTTTCACCACATTCATCAGATTTTACATTCTGCCTCCCCCATCTCTTAATGGATGGGGATGCTAAATGAAACGCCTACATCCATCTTCTCCAAAACAGTTAGTACATAGTTGTGCTATCTTCCTCTTTATTCATCTCCTTTCTCAAGTAAGCAATAACAATCTTTTTAGTCTAACCTTACGGGATAACTTCTGAAAGAGCCTCATCCAATTCTCCAAGATTCTTTTTGAGCTGGCAGACACACACATTTTCCTAAAGAAGCTTATGTAGAGGCTTATGTAATGGCAAGCCGAAATCTTGTTTCCTATCTTAATCTCTTCAGAAAACAGGAAACTGCTTTTACAGATTTCTCAGCAGCTTGATTTTGCTGGAAAACTTTGTCCTTGGTGTATAAATTCTATGTAAAAATCCATTTTAAATGTGTAACTGATAATTATGACTTGCACTATCTCTACCATTAAAAATACAGAAATGTATTTTATATTTGCATCACATCTACTTATGTAGCATGAGAAATGAACAAAAGCATTGCAGTCCTTATTTTCCTGTTAATCTGGCCAATTAATGCATTACTTCTTTTCTACAGGAGAATATAACCCCTAATCCTCTTGCTAAAGAAGAAATGAACTTCCTGGCCAGGCTGATAGGAGGCCTGGAAATCAAGGAACCTGGTGGCAATGAAACAGGATTTCGACTAAATTTGTTCACAACAGATGAGGAGGAAGAGTATGTTCAAGTGGTGCTTGCTTGGGGTTTGTGATTTGGTTTATTGGGAATCCCGGGGAGGAGATCCATTTGCATTCTTGGTGTTTCACATGTGATGCATGATTCTGTCCTTGGGACTGCTTGTCCCTTCAAATGGCACTGTGAAAATCTGTGCTTAGGTCCTGTCACACACAGCTGAAGCAGCCTGTGTCCCTTGAGCCTTCCCATCCGCCAGATACATACCTTTGGAATATATATTCCAGGAGATAAGTATGTATCTTAATTCATGAGAAGTGATAAGCCCAACAGGCCTGAATACCTTAGCCTCCTCCTAGCAGGGAGCAAAAGGGTAATGAGATATTTTATTATTTTATTTCTGCAAAACGTGTTTACTGTCATTTGTAACTAAAGATATTCCCAGTGCTCTACAGCTACCATATGAAATCCAAGCCAGGGATAAGACTGCCAATTGGTGTTAATACATTAATTTGCATAGTAGAAATAGCAAAGTTGCCTAAGCCACATGTCTAAAGGAGCCTCATAGATCTGATGCTCTTTTCATCGTTGGCTCGTAATTTGCTATGAGACTTAAGCTCCTTGTTTTCATAAAGGCACGCAGCACTGACTAGACCAGTGGAGTTATCATACAAAGTGATCAACATAGAAGCCACTCAGGTATGTACCGCACATCCTGAATCCCTGAGTCCCTTCATTTTTTCCTCACTTAAGAACTGAGTCTTGCCTGTAGTAGTGACTTAAGGAACACCTGAGTGTAGTTTATTGTATAAATGGGAGAACCACAGCCACCCTCAGGAGCACTGGCTGCACCCTGGGGGCTGCGGGGCTGGACTGAGGCTTTGTGTGTTCGTGTGCGCCCTGCAGGAGCCGGCGCGGCAGGAGGAGCTGGCCCGCATCCTGGGGGAGCTGGAGGTGGCGGAGCCGAGCGCCGGCAGCGCGGCCAAGGGCGAGGAGCTCCTGGCGCTGATGGACGGGCTCTGAGCGCGGGGCCGGGGAAGAGGTAAGCGGGGCGGGCGGAAAGGGGCGGGGGGACCTCGTGTGCAAAGAGACGCCATCGCCGCATGCGTGTGCAAGTAGGCAGCAGGGATACGGTGTGCGGCACCCACGTGTGCAAGGAGGGGGGCATAGGTAGATGAGCATGCAGGGGGAGGAGTGTGCAAGTGCACAGAGGAGGTGCAGTATCTTCCAACAGGTGGCCGTGCAGCAGCACAGAGCTGACCAGAGTGTGCAGGACGCAGCACGGCCTCACCCGCCCCCCACCACTGCCATGGAGGTGAGCCACTCAGTGAAGGAGCGCACCATCGCCGAAAACAGCCTGGTCATCCTGCTGCAGGGCCTGTGCAATCGCGTCACCACTGTGGAGCTGCGCGACGAGAGCACGGCCTCTGGGCGCGTCACCAATGTGGACGCCTTCATGAACGTGCGCCTGGCCGAGGTGACCTTCATGGACAGGCAGGGCACCCTGTGCCACCTGGATGAGCTCTTTGTGACAGGCAGGAATGTGCGTTATGTCCACATCCCCGATGACGTGGACATCAGGGCCACCATCGAGCAGCAGCTCCAGGCCATCCACAGGGTCCGCTATTTCGGGGGCCGTGACAAGGGGAGGAAGGAGTTCCCTCGAACGAAGCACAGATGATCCTTGCAGGTGCTGCCGGAGCTCTGGCATGGCCCTGGCACCACATGCACAGTGAGGCTGGGACAGTTGTGCCCCCTCAACAGGGCACTGGGGCTCCTGCCAGCTGCCTCCGCACCTTGCCCTGGGCATCCCTCCCTGGCCGGTGGTTGGGAGAGCGTGGGGTTCTTCAGAACAAGGTTGTTTTTTTTTTTTTTTTTTTTTTTTTTTTGATAACCCTCCTTTAAAGGGTTTGTGACTTTTTTCATTTCCCTTGCCTGCTCCATTGGTATCTATTCTGTGTCCCTTCTCTGGTTGCTACCCCTTCTTCTCAAACAAAGCCCTTTTGTTCAGAGGCTGCCGTCTGGTATTATTGCCGGTTCTCCGGGGGGTGTCCTGCTGCCCTGGTAGCTCTGTCCTGCCTGGGGCAGCCCTGAACTCCCCTGTGCTGCAGGATAGGGCTCAGGGCCCCTGTGAGCCACAGCGCTGGCAGATGGAACCCAGGCACTGTTGGAGTCTTGTGTATGGCACTGCAACTCTCTGGGCCTTTGCACTGCAGGCAGAACAGGGTGTCCGAGGGCAAGGGCTGTTGCTGCTGTGCAGGACACGCTGTAGGGGCTGTGCCGCTCTGCGTGGTGCTGCTCTGCGGGGACCTTGCACCATACTCCTCAGGGCAGCAGGGGCCCCAGGAGGCTCCCTATGGCTGCACAGGTGCTTCTGCTGCAGGGCCTGCTCCCCAGGGGGTCACGAGTCTTCAGGGGCAGCTGCTACTCTGGGCAGAGGAGCGCGGGGCCCTCCCCAACGCCCGGGAAGCGCCCAGCTGGTGGGGAGGTGCAGGAGCCCTTGTCCCCTTCCCCGTGCCCTCTCTAGGGCTCCTTCCGGCCCTTCCTCCGCGCCGGCCCCGGGGCGCCGCCTTGGCTGTGGGGGCGGGGCTCCCCGGAAAGCCCGTGGCTCTTCTCCGATCACGGTGCTGCCGAATCCCGCTTGCTCCCCCACCCCACCCGCCCTTCCCC